TCGCCTCTCGCCCTGGCTCTCAGCTGACTTCTACGCCATTCAGCCAGGCCGCTGCATGGGAGCAAGTGGCACAAGAGGGTGGGGACTTCTGCGCAGCTCAGCTGGGCCGCCATGCAGGAGTAAGCAGCCATTTGGGCTCCACGAGTGAGAGGCAGGAGGGGGAGGAGAAGAGAGAGAGAGGGGAAGAAGAAGGGGAGCGAGAGAGATAGCGAGCACGCACGCGGAAGGAGAAGAGAGAGTGAGGAAGGAGAAGAGAGAGAGGAAAAATGCTCCAATTTTTTTTCTTGCAATGTAAACTGACATACATACTATATAAACAGCTCTTTACAAATAAATTTTCTTGAAAAAATTTAGCAGTAATTGAATTTTGCTCCCTGCTGTCAACTTTTTCTGGCCAAACAAATGTTTTCATAGGTAGGGGTGCCTCAGGATATGAAAAATTATTTTAGAGGTTTCTCCATGGGAAAAGGGTTGGGGGATCACTGCATTATCCAAACACTTTGCAACGTCTACCCCAGGTTACAACTTCCCCTCAGATCCTGCAAGCCCTCCTACAGCCTTCCACCAAGCCTAAATTCTTACCTGTGCCCATACTGGCTGTTGCAGCCAAAAACTCAAACCCTCTGCACTCCTCTGTACTCCCCTCAGAATCCTCTTCTGCACCCATACCCGCTCCTGGCCCCTGCATCCCAATCCTATGCCATAACCCCCCACCCTTCATCCAAACTCACTCCCAGACCCCATACTCCCTTCTGCACCCAACCTCCATCTCCGACCACACACACCCTCCACAGAAAGGGGTGGACCTTGACCACTTACCAAAATCTTGGAGTGCTCCCCCATCAAAATTATTGCCCACTCTGACCCAAAAGTTACTCTAATCAATGGATATGAAAGACTGAACAATTCACTAATTGTATGTGTCTTTGTACTCTGGCAATCATATGTTAAACAATTGCAGTTTCCCAATCTCTTGTTTTGAATCAAATAGTAATAAGTAGGAATGTAAAATCCAGTGTAATCAGTTAACCCAGGGGTGGGCAATATTTTGGGGGGGGAGGGGGTGTCACTAAGAATCTGGTAAGTGGTCAAGGGCCACATTCTTTAATTGTATTAATGGAGGAGGTGCAGAGTCAGGGATAGAGGTTGGATGCAGAAGGAAGCTTGGGGTAAGGAGTTGGGGTGCAGGATCTGTGATCTGGAGCAGAGATCTGGGAAGGGATTTTGACCTGGTGTAGGAGTGCTGGTGCTTGGGTTGTGACCTGGGAGAGGGTGTGTGTGCAGGATAGGATTCTGGTCTGGGAGGGGGTTGTAACCTGGGGCAGGAGGTGATGCAGGGTCTGGGAGGTATATGGGGGCTGGAGCGGGGGTCAGAAGGTTTGGGTTACATGGGAGTGGAGTGCAGAGCAGAAGGTTGGGGGAGGGAAGGGCTGGAGTGTCAGAAGCAGGCTCTGGCTGAGAGATGCTTACCAGGGTGGCTTCCAGCCAGCAGCCCAGCAGGTTCCTTAGCTAGGGTCGCTGCCTTCCACACTCCTGTATTTGCTCAGAGCAGCTGCAGGGGCCATAATTACTGCTCTGAACTGAATGCTGTGAGCCTTGGGGGATGAGGGGCAGGGGTATTTTGCATGCTGCCTGTCCTGCAAACAGGCAGCTGCTATTGGCCAGAAGCCAGCTATTTGGGGTGATGACAGTGTTAGAAACCACTCTCCCTCCCTCAGGCTCTCAGCATTCAGAGTTGAATACATGGCCCCACAGATTCATATGTAGCCCTGCAGCCAGCTTGTAGCCCTGCAGCCCTCCAAGTAGGGGCGGGGAAGACCTGGAGCGGGCTGAGGCTCCTGCAGGTCGAATCCAGTCTATCGGCCATATTTTGCCCAGCCCTAAATTAACCAGTTAAACATTATGTTTTAACTGGTTAACCACTTAAATAAAGGTGGGCAAGGGGGCCTGGCTAGGCTAGGCTCCAGCCCATCCCATCACACCCTGCTCTGGTTTACCCACTCAGGTGGCTGCTCCAACTCTGCTCTCTGCACCACAATGTGGCCAGGAAACTGCTTTAGCCCATCTGGGCTGTCGAACTGCTAAGTATCACCCTTACTGGTGATGCTTACTGGTTAACCTCATCACATCTCTAGAAATAAATGCTCTGTTCAGTCTTTCATATCCATTTACGTAGTGTGAAATCTAGAGAAATGTGTTGCTTACTCCTGAGGCAATACATTTCAGATATTTAATAAAAATATAGGCAGTTACTCTGAATAGTGTAAGTACCACTGATTTATTGGTTAAGCTTTAGAAAATACTCTGATGACCAGTTGGTTACACAAGAATCCACTCCTCTCCCAGGAAGAAAAAAAAAGTAGAGTACTGAATATCTGATAAGGGGCCTTTTGAAGAAATCACACATCTGCCTACTCCATTCCCCCCTCTCTATCACTTGCACTTTTCTCCCTCCCCTCTGGCCAAAGGGTCAGGTGCAGGAGGAAGTGAAGTAAAGCTCTGGCAGTTTGTGTGCAGGATTCCAGGTTGGGGCAAAGTGTTGGGATGCGGGAGAGGGTTGAGAATGGAGTGCTGGCTGCAGAAGGAGGGTCAGGGTTGGGCCACTGGTGCAGCAGGGAAGCTCCGGCTAGGAGGCAATTAGCATAGGCTACCGGCCTGCTGTGATCCCATGCCAATCCCAGAAGCAGCTGGATGCAGATTCATTTCTGTGTCCTCCTGTAGAGGAGAGATGGACAGCATATCCCAGCACTGTCCTCAACTACCAGCCAATAGAAGCTGCAGATGTAGGCGGCTTGCAGAGACACACTGTTCCCTTCCCTGCAACAGGAGCACACAGACAAACCTGGAGCCAGCAGGCAGCCTGTCCGAGCCCTGCTGCACTGCTAGACTTTAGAGCCCGGAGATTACGATGAACTGGCTGAGGCTCCAGAATCGACCAGTTAATCACAATTAACGGGATGGTGACTCCTGTTCTATAGAATGAAGTACAGGGTACTATCAGAGCCTGGATACATGGTTAAAAAGAGACTGTTGATTCATTCCACACCCCCCCCCCCCTTTGAAATCAGTGAAAACAGTGGGGGCGGGGAGGAGGGGGGAAACAAGAACAGGATGTCAAACAGTATTAACAAAACAGACATGCAAATAACTGCCTCTACTGTACAAACATGTTCATAAACTTCCCATACTACTCTGGACTGTACTTCAAACAGGTGTTCTTATGGCTGCAGCTGATATCTGGAATACAGGAGGGATAAACTGAAAAATGTAAGCGAAACCAAACAAAACAAAAAGCTTGACACTTAAGGTCCAAAAGAAAATACTGAAGCAGGGCCAATGAGAACTTTGGGGCAGTAAGTGACAGCTGCAAACAAGCCAATCTTAAACAATTCCAATTGTGCACAATGTCACCATCTAAAGATTTGTATTATTCTTTTTTACCTAGACATTATATTGTCTTAGATCTTAAACAGGAGGACTGATAGCACAGATAATACCGGAAACGAAGGATGGGAATATGGAAAAAACTGCAAGATATCCAATTTAAACCCAAGTAGAAAATATATGAAAGCATGAAATACTACAATGCAAAATCCTTATGTTCATGTTTAAAATGCTCAAAAGCTTTACCAATCATCACTGAAGTGGCAAAAAGGGAAAGTTACTCACCTTGTGCAGTAACTGGAGTTCTTCAAGATGTGTCCCCATGGGTGCTCCACTTAGGTGTGTCAGCACCATGCTGCACACAGCCTGGATACCTTTGGTAGCAGTCCCTGAGCCGTCAGCGTGTGCTGCACTATTTCACAGTTGCTCAGAAGGATAGTTACACACACGCCGGCGTCCGTTCCCTCCATTCCTTCTCTTCGCTGGACTGCAATAGCCCGGAGCAGATAGTAGGTGTGGAGCACCCATGAGGACACATCTCGAAGAACTCCAGTTACTGCACAAGGTGAGTAACTTCCCTTCTTCTTTGACAGTCCCCATGGGTGCTCCACTTAGGTGACTACGCAGCATTGTTCCTGGTTGGCGGTGGACACTCCGTGATGCAGGACCAGATGTTAGACAGGACTGTATGTCCAAATCTAGTGCCTGAGTCCTGAAAGGTCTGAATTGCATAATGCTATGCAAAGATATTGGCCGAAGCCCATGCCTTTTTTTTCTTCTTTCCTTTTGATGCTGTTAGAGAGACTGACTAAGTGCAACCTATGCCAGCTGCAATTGAGAAGGAACTGAGGGAACAGCCGCTGGTGCGTGTGTAACTGTCGTTCTGAGCAATTGCGCAATAGCACACCAGGCACTGGCAGCCAGGGGACTGCTACCAAAGATCTCCAAGCCGTGTGTACAGCAGCGCTGACACCTAAGTGGAGCACCCATGGGGACCCTTGAAGAAGAATGTCGTCTTAGACAGCAATCACACCAACTATTTACATGTAGGCACCATAGTATGGCTTCAAAATGTATTTAGCAAAGTACTCATCTCACATGGTTTCACCTGACAACTTGGGATGTTAAATATCAGTTAACTAATAGTTTATTAACCTCACAAATCCGTTACTCAACTGTTCTATAGTCCCCAGGGTTGGAGCTGGCAGCCAGTGCACTCCCAACCCATTCCCGAGGAGCACCCTGCAACTCTGCACTGCTGCTTCTGTATTAGAGGCAGCAGCATGGGGTGCCAGATGGGAGCTGGTTCGTGAGGGGAGCCAGTTTAAAAACCTGCTCCCTTTTCAGACTGGTTACCTGTAACCCCACGCTGTTGCCTCTAATACATAGGCAGCAACGCAGGGTGGCAACAAGCCCCTCTCCTGGGGGAGAAGGAGGAAGCGGAGGGTCCTGAGCTCCTGGACTTGGCATGAGCCAAAACTGAGCCAGGCTGCCTACCCACTTGGCTCCTAGTACACCTTAAATGCAGAGTTGCAACAGGGGGAGGTAGAACTGAGCCAGGCTGCTGGTCAGCCTGATAAATTTACTAGCGGGGGAAGGAGATGGGGAAGGGAGAAATGGTTGTAATATATAGCATTAACTTATAAACTTCTGCTTATTGGTTAATCAACTATACTATATTACATCCCTAGACAGTGCAGAGGTAAGTGGATCTTTAGGTGACCAGTTCATTATTCCCAATTTGCTCCCAGGACTTTCAAATTTGACCTGGATAAGTGGACATGCATCCAATTCAGGCATTACTGAACTTAAAGTCCAAACCCTCCAGGGCAGCAATTTTATTTTTCTGTGTGTTTGTACAACACTTGACAAAATGTGACCTCAATTCTGACCGGGTCTGGCCTTTGGGCTATACTGTGATATACTGATAATTCCTCTAACTATTCTCATACATCCTATAGAAGTGAAATGAGATATTAATACACTTAATCATACTTGCTACATAACTTCAATGTTATAATTTTATAAAAAACCCATATTTGCATAATAAAAACAGTACACCAGAGACACACATATATACTTACATTTGATTTTTAGCCGCTTGTCTCTGAGCTTTCCGTTCTTTTCTTTTTTGATCTGGAGGCTTAGCAAACACAATTTCAATATTTTCTCCTTCTAAATCTTTGCCATTCATTTCTTCCATTGCCTGAAGGAAGTAACCAAATTTTAGATATACTTCTTAGGGCATTCAGGGACACACTTTAAAAGGAAAAAAGAATAGAAGGTTTACTAAAAACAGTATCACCCAGAATTAGCCTTGACTGTATCTCTGAAAAAAAAAAAAAAATCAGACTGCAGATGGTTTCAAAGACTTAAAGATTGCTACAGGGAGAGGGAGAAAATTATTCTCCTTAACTTCTGGATAGGACAAGATGCAATGGGTTTAAACTGCAGCAAGTGAGATTAAGGTTGGACACAAGGGAAAAACTTCCTCACTTTCAGGCTGTTTTAGCACTGGAATAAATTTCCTAGGGACCGGAAGTTAAAAATCTCCAGTGATGGAGATTCCATAAGAGCAGGATATATCAATGCATGTCAGGGATGGCCAGTTTTTCAATGAGAGCCACTCCAAGATTTTGGTAAGTGGTCAAGGCCCACACTTTTAAATGAAGGAGCTGTGGGGTCTGAGACAGACTGGGATGCAGCAGGGAATGTGGGGTCTAGAAGGGTGTTTGAGTGAAGGGAGGGAGTTATGACCTGAGGCAAGGGATAAGAGTGCAGGAGACTATTCTGGCTTTGGGGGAGGGGTACACTGGGTTTAGGTGGTGACCTGGGACAGGGGATTAGGGTGCAGGGTCTGGGTGCAGGAGAGGATTCTAGCCAGCAGGGGGTGGGAGGAGCGCGGAGGAATGGAGTGCAGGAGAGGCTGGGGTGCCAGAGGCAGGCTCTGGCCAAAGAGCGCTTACCTACACAGCTCCAGGCCAGCAACCCAGTGGGACCCTCAGGTAAGCTTCCCTGCCTGCCAGCAGCCACAATCCATTCAAAGTGTCTGGCTGTTCCATGTGGCGCTCTGAGCTGTAGGATGGGGGGTTATTTCCAGTCAATAGTAGCTGAGAGATTGTGCTGGGGCAGGAGCAGAATGTGAAATCTCCCCCTTCCTCTTCTGCATGGTGCAAAGAGCCACAAGGAACAGACAGCTGCTTTGAGCGGCATGGAGCTGCTTCATACTGCAGGGGTGGGCTGGATTCAGCCCGCAGGCTGGATCTAGCTTGCTCTGGTTTAGATGGTGCTTGGTCCTGCCATGAGTGCAGGGGACTGGACTTGATAATCTCTCGAGGTTACTTCCAGTTCTAGGACTCTATCAGGCTTGATTTTCAAAACCAAGACAGCCTTGACTGTTCTTAAAAAATTCTTCCTCTCACAACTGTGGACATACAGGCAGTCCCCGGGTTACGTACAAGATAGGGACTGTAGGTTTGTTCTTAAGTTGAATCTGTATGTAAGTCGGAACTGGCGTCCAGATTCAGACACTGCTGAAACTGACCGCCAGTTCTGACTTACATACAGAATCAACTTAAGAACCCCAGGCGTCCCCAAGTCAGCTGCTGCTGAAACTGATCAGCAGCTGATTCCAGGAAGCCCGGGGCAGAGCAACTCTGCTGGCACCGGAGCAGCGAGAAAGCCCCGTTCGTAAGTGCGGATCCGACGTAAGTCGGATCCGCGTAAGTCGGGGACTGCCTGTATATGCAATAACATGTCACTTACTTTTGAGATATTTTCTGCAATCTGGTAGCTAAATATTTATTTAGTTTTAATTTATTTATTCTTCTTTGAAAACCATGTTCTTTCGAAATCAGTTCACCTTATCGATAATTTTAAGTTCTGCTAGTGATTAAATTTGTATCTAGTTAAAGGGATGGGGACCTATGGCCCAGCATGCGGCATGTCTTGATCCGGCCCACGAGGCTTGGGCTCTCTCTTCCCACAACAGAGCAAGCCAGAGCTGGCTTGTCCTGCTATGGAGTCCGGAATCCCAAGCGTAACAGGCTGGATCAATGCAAGTTACAGGCTGCATCGGGCCCACGGGCTCTGCCTAGCAGGGGAGAGGAAGTGGTTCTTCATTCTGATGTCATCCCCTACTCCCTCTGGCTGGGGAAATGGCAGCTCAGAGAAGCTCTGGTCATGTGCTCACATGCGGTTCTACCACAGGGGAGGACCCCGCCCGGTGCCCCTGGTCTGCTGGAGACGGTCTCCAGCAGACCAGGGGCACCGGAGCAGCTTACCAACGGGGCTTTCTCGCCCCGACTTCCGGGGCGAGAAAGCCCCGTTCGTAAGTGCGGATCCGACATAAGTCGGATCCGCGTAAGTCGGGGACTGCCTGTACTACTGCATCCTCTACAAATAGCATACCACAATTCAGCTCTGTGATCTCCTATTTACAACAACAGGGCAGCAAAAGGGCTTAGAAGATTCAAGTGAAAAAATATTTTTATACAAAGAAGAACTCCTAGAGCACAATACAAATCTTGGTTTTCCCTCTTTTGTTGTATTTATAAATGTCTTCTTACTGATTAGGTGCATAAGGAAATCTGCACCTCAGCCTCATTTAACAGAAATGGACACGATGAAAGTTTCCCACCAAATTTTTACAAATGAGTATCAAGAGAGGGGGATCTGAGTTAGCCTACCACTTTCAAGGATTTATTGGACTCCATAGGAGACCCTGCCTTGGGAAGATGCATGCATGATAGGGATTCTTACTCCATTAACCCAAGTTTCTTCAAACTATCTAGACAAATGGGAAAAGCTGCAAACCTATGTTTATCTTCCACTTCACCCAAAGGTGTAGAAAACTGATACATGAACCAATTCTGCCAGTCATTCTAGCCAATGAGGAAGAAACACAAAAGGAAAGGGATGAAACAAATGAGTTATTCCTGAATATATCCACAAGGTGGAAGGAAGGAAAGGAGAGAGTTAACAACTGGATATCCCTGTCACCAAAAAAGGAAACAGTTAATTCTGTTCCTAGGAAGATAAGTTTTTCGCTTTGTATTTCAGTGCTGTCATTACTAACAACATTTTTCGATGATTCTCAAGTATCGCAACTGGTCTTTTACCCCAAAGGAACTTCCTTATGTTTGATTGTAAGTTGATGAGAAAGTTCTGGCATCCCACTCATCATTTGCACAGGTCATTAGCTTAAAAGAGAATCTTCTATTTTTTACAGCAAAATAGTCACCAATATTAACAGCAATGTACACAATGCATAGCCCTTCAGTGAATTTATGTAGTGTAGAACATTCTATGAAAAGATCCAACATGTAACTTCATTTTATGCTGTTATTAGTTAACAATATTTCACATCAATGATCTTCAACCTTTTTACTCCAAGACCACTTTTTGAATGTAAGAGCTACCCAGCATTTATCCCACTCTTCTCCTGAAACTCTGCCCCGCTCACTCCAGCCCCTAGCCACGTGCTTTCTTCCACCCTCATTCACTTCCACTGAGCTGGGACAAGGCACTGGGATTAAGCATGCAAAATCGTATTTAAGAACTAGGTAACCGGTTAACCCTTTACATCTCTTGTTGGGATGCAGGAGGGGGCACTGGGTGCTGGCTGAGATGGGGTCACGGATTCATGGTGCAAAACAGAATTCTTGGTGCTGGCCTGTGGCCTCCCGCCGGCAGCACTTACCAACTCCAGGCTGGCGGCTCAGCAAGGCTAAGGCAGGCTTCTTGCCTGCTCCAGCCTCATGCCACTCCCAGAAGGGGCCAACACACCCCCATAGTCCCAAGATGGGAGGCACGCAGCTTTGTGCTACACTTCTCTGCTAGCATGCCTCAGTTCTTACTGCCTAGGAATGAAGTGGCAGTGCTTGCAGGCAGAAGCAGAATGCCAAGACCACTTATAGGAGCAATGTCAGGTCAGTACAGCCAAGTAGCCTGCCTTAGCAGCAGCCCCACTCCACCCCAAAGAGACCACAAATGACTGGGAGAGAGTCCCCATGTCGGACTAGTCCATCACCATCAACTGGTTGGTGACCACTGTCTTAAATCATTCTTCATACTGATATTTTAAAAAAAAAGTTTCCACTTTTAAAAATTCAAATTAGTCGTAACTTCTATGCACATATTAAAATTAAAATCCTTTTAACCTACCTTTACAGCACCATCCCGTTCATCAAAATGAATGAAGGCATAATCTTTTAGTTTCTTCACTCGCTCTAGTTTTCCAAATTGACTGAAAGCCTTTTCTAGAATCTCTTCTGTTACAGTATTGGCAAGGTTGCGTACAAATAACACTTTCACCTAAAAGACAACAAAAGTCAAGTTTCAGTATACAAGTTTTGTCTAATATAATTAATCAGTTCAAAAATATTTTTTAAAAATCAATTAATTCTATTTATATGCAATATACTATAATTAATTTAGGAAATCAGTTGCTGACTTTATATTTGAATAAAATGATTTAATGTTACTAAACAATCAGTGCTATAACTGAAAAAAATCCTATCAGCAAGTTTTGCCTTGAAGGAACTTTTTAAAATTAGCTAACTCTACTGTTTTAAATAAGGACAGTAATATGTAGAAATTAAGTATTAAAATTATTACAGTTGAAGCATCCATCAATATCTAATCACTCAGCATGCCTTCTCTGCTTAGACAATTTGCCTCCACCAGATGTTCTGAAGCTACAACATCAAATATTGTTGGTTAGAATATACTTTTATTGTCGATGACAAAAGGAAATAAATAACAGAGGCAACCTAAAATGCAAAGCTTGAGGCTTAGCAATATCATCTGGTAGAGGAGAAAGTTACATACTGTCTAGTCTATATTAGGGCACCCAGTCAGCTATGTTGTGCAGAATTCAATGAAGCACCAAAAGCATCCACACAAGCTACCCTCAAATTGGTTTAAGATATGCCCTTGCAGCCTAGTGTGGATGTACTAATGTGTGGGCTATCAACACTGACACCTGTTGAAGAAAACACCTGTCAGATAAAGTTTCCTCAATCCATAAGTCACTTTTGTTTGCAGCTGAGTTATCTTCTCTATCCTCACCTATCAGAACCATTAACAATGCCAGACCACAGTGTCTTCTCTCTGTCCACAAATACTACTCAGTCAAGTCCATAAGTTTTCTATCAAAAATCCATCTGCAGAGAAATGGCTAATATAAATTGTCTATCAAGGCCCTCCTTCCCAGTGGTATACTAGCTCAGGCTATACCACTCAGGGTACATCTAAACTACATCCCTTTTTTGATAAAGAGATGTAAATTAGACATATTGAAATTGTAAATGAAGCCCAGATTTGAATTTCCTGTGCTTAATTTGCATAATGGCAACCACAGCTTTTTTTTCCCCCTTCTTGAAAAGCCACTTTTCTTTAAAAGCCGCAGTCAAGTCGGCTTTTTAAATGACAGAACAAGCCAAAATCTACTGCCCCACCCCAAAAAGCAGCTTTTCGGAAAAAAGCTGCAGCCACCATTATGCAAATGAAGCGCATGAAATTCAAATCCCAGCTTCGTTTACAATTTCCATATGTCTAATTTAAAACCCTTTACTGAAAAGGGTCTGTAGTTTAGATGTACCCTCTGTGATGCAGAGTTTTAATCAGTGAAACTATAGCCGAGAGAGCACAGCTAGCGGCCATACTTCAGAAGCCCTCAGAAACTAGCTCCCTTTCCCTTTGGCTTCTCCAGAGCAAATGGAGGAACCAAGGAGAGCAGGCTATGGGGACTGACAGGATCACAGCTATCAGCAGTAGCACGAGCCAGCAGCAGCACGAGCCAGCAGCAGATTCTCTCTCTCTGAATTACAAGTTTATTAGGATGAAAAGTGGCAAAGATTGTGTGTTTATGTGCGATATCTTAAGCAGCAATATCTTGGGGGAGCATGGATAGGCAGAAACTACAACCTCAGACAGGGATCTATAGGCAAATCCTTGTCTAAAGGCCTGCAGCGAAAAATATATGGGAGCAATGGGGGATGACGGGCAAGGGAGGCATAGGGTTATAAGAATTACAGCACTGGGTCAGAACCAGTGGGCCATCTATTCCAGTGTTCTGTTTTCCACAATAGCCAAATAGCAGCAGCTACAGAGGAAAATGAAAAAACCTCACACTAGGCAATAACTGAATAACCACTTCAAAGTAAGTTATTTTAACCTACATGAGTTAACAGTGTCTTATGCTCCGACTCAAAGAGCTTGTCTTTTCCAGAATCAGGAACTCTTTTTAAACTAACTCCTCTGGATATTCCTATTATCCAAGTATTTTATAATCCCAATCAACTCTTTACCTCAATGATCTTTTGTTGCAATGAATTTTAGTCTGATTTTTCCATGTGGAAAAGGTATTCACTTTTAAATTGGGTGCCATTCAATCTAATTGACCATTCCCCTATTATTTATTATGAGAAAAAGAGTGAACAGCAATGGACTTTGCAGACTGGCTGTACAGACTCACTGGCTGCCATAGGTAGACAGTCCACATTACCCATCAAAATCGGTCAACCCCAGCACCCACCTTTCCAATCTTAGATGTACATTACATCAATTATTGCCTCTCCAAAAAAGGAGCCAAAACTTTCATTGATTAAGACACTTTTCAATGAATTGCAAGGAAACAACTGGTTTACATTTTCTCCAGCATCAACATATTTTATTCCCTAATGCCTCAGATCTGGTCAAATTGTGGACTATGTACATAATATCAACAAACTTGATCTGTGGAAAGGACATACTAATGCGATAGTTCTTCAAACAGAGGTACATTAACTGATGTACATATTTGTCTAGTTTTACAACAGTCTACATCAGAAGACTACTGAAATCAGTACCAACTAAAATGTAAATGACAAACTGCTATATTTACTGTATATTGAAATGTGTTATATTAATAAAATTATTTCATGCTTATTTAATTATGATTAATTACAGTAATTTTTCAATAATTGTGCTATAAGATTTTTGTCTTTTTGTTTGATTTTGTAAGCAGGTAGATTCATGAAAAAGGCATAGCAGTCTAAAAAGACTGAGAACATTGCATTAATCGACAGGTCTGTTTAGACATAAGGAAGTCAAGACAAGCCAGACTTCTCAGAGGACATGCCTTCCCTCTGAGTTGAAATGGGAGAGAAAAAATAAACTCACTTTTAGGTATTACTTCATTATGGCCAAACAAAGTTATGAGCCATGGAGCCAGTGCCACACAACTGCGTCCAACATCTCAAAGACACTGCTTAGGTTAACTGGTTGCTTAAATTGCCAGCTCTGATTTGCAAGGTCGAAGTACATAATTCATACATAAATGTTTCATTTAACCAGTTAATTGATTAAATGGAGTTGGGTAGGTCTGCTCTGGCCTCCACCAGTTAACCGGTAAACCAGGGCTACTCAACACACAGCCCGCAGCCCATTTATTTGCGGCCCACAGTCTGGTTTGGGTTTACATGGGGCTCAACATAAAGCCTATAGGTGGGATCCTTTGAACATGGCCTCCACTGGGAACATGCTCCACAAGGGCAAGGTGTCTCCCAGGTGGGGTGAGAAATGAAATTCACAAGATGGACTGGCTGGGACAGTCAGTGTCGGTGTTTCTACCCCCCAGGGAGGTGGTGCCGGGAGCGCTGGGGCATTGCGCGAAATGCTGGCTACTTGCCTTGTGGGAAGAGCCTGAGAGGTGCTGACTGGCTCGCATTTGCCACATTTGAATCCGGGGCCAGGAGCAGGTAGCACTACTTCAGTCCCGCATGGAGCGATGGACTCTCACGTGGGGATGTCAGCCCTGCTGGGAAACCAGGACAGGGCTCCTGGGCACCGGTCCTTTTTCGCCTCTTGTGTCCCGTCTGATTTGCCCAGCTCCCTGCCCCGCCACAGGTTGGAATGCTCTGGCTTGGAAACTTTTCTTTTTACAGTAAAATCACTCCAAGAAATGCACAACCAGAAGCTTCTAGCTAAACACCCAAAACACTGGTATACAATTTTCTTTTTAATAAGGAGCATTTAAAATGGCAACAAAGAAGAGACACTTGTTGAATGAACACAGGGTTTTCAACCCTGTTTGGGAGATAGAATTCGCTTTTGCAGAGATAAATGGAAACCCAATGTGTCTTCTTTGTCAAAGACTATCGCTGCATTAAAGAAAGCAAACTTGCAATGGCACAATGAATCTTGAAGCTATTTGCATGCATATGTGTGTGTGTGTGTGTGTGCGCGCGCGCGCGCGCAACCACATTTAAGTTGCGGCCTGCAGCATGTGCTGTGAGTATCATTGTAGCCCACAGGGCTTTCAAAGTTGAGTAACCCTGTGGCAAATCATTCACATTGCTAGCTATGACAGTCACTACTGAACTGCCTTTTAATTTTGTCTGCACTATGGTATGCAGGGATATTAAAATTAAATGAATCAACTAACTGAATTGTTGATAAGGGTGCTTCCACTTTGAAAAGTAGTAAAAGCCCACCCAGCTGCTGTTGCATTTTAAAGGCAGAAGCGCCACTGCATTCTGCCTTTGAAATGTACAAGAGCCCCAGCAGGGGCTCTTGTGCATTTCAAAGATTGAAACACTGCATGGAGCCTGGGGCCAGCAGGGGACTCTTCCATACAGTTTAAAATTTGGAATCTCCATTCACAAGTCTCTTAATCCACTGCGCTAAATCTATAGTGCTCCTGATCTGCTCTTTTCCTTTATCCTTTCTATATCCTAGCATCCTCCTACCCCATTCAAAATTTTTAGTTTAGTCAAAATCACTTATATGTGGAATGGGGGCAGGGAACCAAGATACATTGCTTTCCTCTTATGTTGCCCACCACCACAGCTCTGCTCCAGAAGCTTGCTACCCAGTTCTTTCTTCCCAACCATGTCTCCATCACTTCATACTTACCTGTTTATTTTCACCAGCAGGAGTCCCTCACCAATGATCATAGAAAAAGTTAGATGGACCAGGGATCATCTTTTGTGAGGGAGAAGCTGTCTTACTGAGGAAGTGCTATTTTGCAGGCAAACTATTTGGAAGACTCCCCATTGCCTGCTCTTGATTGATTACATCACTGGGCAAGAAAGAATGGGGGGGATTAAAGTTGGCAGGTAAAACATTCTATGCTTCTGCTAGAAAAGCAGCTATATGACTAACCCCATTTGGCTCACCAAAGGAGAACCCAGCCAAGACACCTTACTAAGTCCATCGAACTAGAACTCCTACTAGTCAGCCAGCCATCTCAGGTCAGAGGTGATGGTGAGAAAAAGTAACATAGAAAAGGGCTGTCTAGAGACTCTTATGCTAGTGATTGGGAAACAGAACCAGACAGGACCGGGCAACATTTGAGAATACAAGTTTTCAGGTAAGACTCAATTCATCTGCTTGGGCAAAATGTATGTCAGAACAAAGAACAGCTCTACTGTTATAATAATGCTCCCCAAACCTTGTATGAAGAACCTAGGCTATGTGAACGTTGTACTCCAGAATGTTGCCACTATTGCTTTAGAGAGCCTGGAAAAAATAACACGACAAAAACAAACCACCACCATTGTCTTCTAAAAAAGTAATTGCTTGATTTGTGAAAGGATAGTTTCCTGGAGTCTGACAAGGATTTAGAAACTTCGGGTGTATATTCTTTGAACTAGTACCAGTTCAAGAATTTCAGACACGAAGTTCTACATTTAAGAGAATTAAGCCTTTTTTTTTTTTTTTACAGACTGATCCAAATATTCACACTGATTTCTTTCAATCAAGTACTTAAGTGTGAAGTCACAAAGCAACACTGATTTTGAAGCAAATGTATCTCATAGATATATTACAGGAATCATGGAAGTTGTACATAGATTTTCAGCATTGGCAGGAAACAAAAACAAAGAATCATTTAACCCCACAAGTAGTAGTGAATTCTACTTACCATTGAAATTTTTTAAGACTGTAAGAGTTCCTTTTAATTTTCAAATGTTTTAGAATGCACTCACATCTTTACAACCCTTCAAGTGGTATTTCAATATAGTACTAATACCAGAAACATGGGCATCCAGTATGTTAGGCCGGGAAAGGCTTTGCCTTCCCAAACCACCAAATTGGCCCCACCCACACTCCGCCCCCCACAACACCTACTGTAGGCGCTGGGGGTGGGGTGGTGGGAGAGGAGTGTTGTTGCCCCCAGTCCTCATCTTCCCCATGTCCAGAGCCGGAAAGGCTAGGGCACATGCTCCTACCCACCCTTCTTCCCCTTCCCATAGAGGTGGGGGCATGCACACACCCTGCTGCCTGCCTCCCTGAAGTGGTGGGGTGGAGGGGTAGCTTGGCTCTCATGGGGCAAAGCCTCAGCAGAAGGGGCGAGGCTGGCAGGCTTGCCTCCCACAGCCTTATCTTCACTAGTCACCCCTGACTAAATATTACCTTATGACAATTTAAGTGAGGAGGGTATAATTATATTTCTCAGTTGCTTTATTACCTTTGCCATAACTTCAGGATCTGGATCTTCTATAGGGTCAGCCCATTCAACTGTAACAACATTTCCCCAGACTTTCACTTTTCCACTCATCAACCTACGTCTGGCCTGAGCAGCAGTTTTGTGATCTTCATATTCAAGGAAACAAAAGCCCCTGTTCTTTTTCTTGTCATCAGGCTGATGATACAATATGACATCTGTGAGACCCTCTGTGAAATTAAGGAAAGTATTTAATTTGGTTTCTACTGAGGTTTTATACTACAAAGCAAAGGAATGATCCGACATAAGGAAGTAAGTATATATTACAAGCCAATGTGAAAGCAGGGATAAGATTCAAAGATTGGTGTGAACAAATACCGAGATACATTTCTGTACTTACACAAAAACTTCTCTTGCATACCACTGCTGCATCTAAGCAGCTATGGACAGAATTATTTCTGTTCCATAAAAAAATTACATGTTTAGAAGACTTCTGAAAGCCTTCCTTCACACTGTTCTTTTTGGGTGCCTTTATGCAGAAGTAACCCTATAGCATTAAAGTAAGTCAGTAACTTTAATCTACTGTTGTCAAGGACTCAAAGCACAGAACTCTCTCTGTACTGGTTAAATGTTGCTTATATAAAAGATCGATATGTCCTTTAATACTGAAGGAATTTTGGTGAGTTGGGGAGTAATGCATTTCTCTGAAAGAAATGTTCCTTATATACCTGACAGTTATTCCGTAGGTTAAATACGTAAATAATCGAAGGATTAGTTATAGGAGATTCAAATAAAGCATGCATTATTCAAAGATAGTACAATGGTTTAGGCAATAATATATTATTACTCTTTCTTTCAAAAGGGAGAAATCTGAAAACTTAGTTTTGTGCTGGGTGTTTTTAGTTTAAAAGATCATCGTTCAACTTCAATCAAAAGACAGTGAAAAAAATCCTATCAATGATCACTCTCATTTATTTTTACCCAATTCCCAATATACTTACTAACTTACCTGTTACTTTACTAAATTCTTCAACAATCTGTTCCTTGGTTTTGCTCTTAGGAATAGAGCCAACAAAAAGCCTATTATTGGCAACAGAGATGCATACACCAATGTGTTTTCCAGAACGAATTTCATGATTATTGTACTGAAAGAAAAATAGACAATGGCAAGTTATTACCAAGCTTTCACTCTTCCCGATTCAAAGCATCTATGACAGATATTTTATTTCCCTATAACTAATCAATAGTGAAGTATTAAACTCTTCAGAGGCTGACCTGTGCATACCACAGGTGTAGCTACCACACTTGCAGTACATTCACATTCTTTGCCAGTCGTCACCAGTTTGAGCCAACAACTATCTGTCCCCCCGTTTTAGCTCCAGAATCAAGCTTTACTTCTGGAAGAAACTTTCTGGCTCAAATGTCACAAGATGATGGCATATGCAGAATTACAGCATTTGGGGCTTGTTCTACCTAAAGTATTGATAATAAAGGTACTGCTTCCAGCCACATTATAGAGAAAACTTCCCCTAGTTACCAACTATAAGTTCTTCTTAAACTGAACTAGGCACATAAAAGCAGGTATTCAGGTGTACATCAACAAAAGCTTCAACAAGTTGGGGTCCAAAAAAAGCCTACTCCAGAAACAACTATGGCTCTCGTAGAGATATTATGTATACATAGCTTGACCTCTCTACCAAATCAGACAGCAGCTTCTGGAAAAAAAACTGTTTGTTGAAGAGAGGCATGGAAATGTAAGGGCAATGTACAGACAACATTGTTAACTTACTCAGTGTAGTGTTATAAAAAGCAAGACTAAACTATGTCATCTTAAACTATAGCCCCCTCAATATTTCAAACTGAACTTGGGAACAAAGTTTAGACTCAGTTTATACACATTACTAGCTTTTTTACATTTTTAAATAATATCCAGGGCTTGAATCATTTAATTGGTGAATAGGAAATTATCACAAGCTGGTGAATAAATATCAATAGAATTTAAGTTAATTAAAATATCTTTAGAATTACAGATATTGAGGTAACCAAACATGATTTATATAAATCCATGTAGTGTCTTTCTGGAATCTGAAAAAAGCTCAGGTTACTCAAACAGCAGCAGCAGAATATTTGTAAAGTTCCAATCAGTTTTACTATGTACTACATAGAAGTCTACAGGCAACAGTGAAGTGGATGTTCTCATTTGTCTCACTTTTGTTCAGAATTTTCCAAAGCTTAACAAAAGAGGCTTTGAGGAGGAGGTGGGGAAGGATATGCCCCAAAGAGTCAAGAGACAGGTTCCAAGACAGGAGGGAGACAAAACTACTTTCCATGAAGTGGCCGACAAGTGCACAGGGTTCTAAACAGTCATAACCTGTGAACAGTAGGAGAGAGTGTACCACTGAGCAGCCTCCTATTTTCATCACTAAAGATGACAGAGGCTTCTCACAAGGCACAGTACCCAGATCTTACTGGTATGCCCACAATACTATACTGTTTGAACTGGTTTCTAGGTAGTAAACACTGGTATGTTTTTCCAAATCGTAATTTACCCAGCCAAATGCAGCTGACACTTTATACAAAACCAACCAATTCCAATGTACTTGTTATTAGTATCTTCTCCTATACCCATCGTCAAGAATGGCATATTGTCATGTCACAGTACTTAAGTGGAAAGATTTCCCTGACAACATCAAATATATATTTTTCCTTTTATTTCTCTAATCCACCCGTCAGTAACAATTTAAATGGCATATGGTTCTTTCAACTAGGTCTGATTACATACACATCTCAGATGGAAAGCTTCATACTTCTGAACCATTAGAGAACCTTTATAAACAAGGCAAGGAGGACCAAGTCCAAGCCTGGCCACCTATCTTTGCATCATATCAGCTTAATAAATCAGCACAGATAGCCCTCCAGATCTACAAGTGTATTGCATTTAAAAACATCATCCATTTGAAGTTAAGTTTCCAACTACAAATTGTATACCTACTGTTAAGTAACTTCTAAAATTCAATATTTGCACATTTCCAATTTACTTGCAGCATCTGATAGCACTAAACTTTGTCAGTTTTCATAGTTTTGCTGTTGATCAGCTGCATCACGCTGGTGCAGTAATCGGGAGACAGCTCATGCAACAGGGTGTATAACAGCAAAGCTGAAACCAGAAAGGCAACAAGCAGGAGTGTGCTTGGAGAAAGCAGATTTATCCCAAGCATGTTGTTCGGTGTTGTCTTTGAGCCCACCAAAACCTTTTATAATAAAACACAGTATGAAGGCAGAAAAATAACTTCTGTTTTTAAGGGAATTGGGACACGATTTAAAATGTATTCTATCAAAAGTTTAATGCAATAGTTCCCGACCGGCAGCAGGCCACAAACCCCTGCCTGCCAGGCCATGGCCCGCCCACTAGGGTTCCCCACATAGCAGCAGGGTGCTGGGGCAGCGAGGCTCCACATAGCAAGTGGGCTCTACACAGCGCTTAGCGCTGCCACTGCACTCAGCTGGGGCCTAGCTGCTGCAGCCCTCAACTAGGACCAAGTGCCATGCAGAGGCCAGATGCCGGGGCGCTCAGCAGGGGCCCAACCCATTACAGGCTCTGTGCAGCCCTCCCACAACACACTGCGTTCAGCTGGCGACTGGGAGGCAGCAGCAGGGCTAGGTGAGGGGAGCGGGATAGTCACAGGAGCTCTGATGGTGGGGGAGGGCTGACTCAGAGACACTGTGACATCCAGGATGGGGAGGTGGAACCAGGGAGGCTCTAGGGTTGGGGCTAGTAGTGAGGGAGCTAGGGGGACAGGGCTGGCACTGGGGACAGAGTTAATATTGGGGACTGAGGGCTAGCACGGAGGGACCTGAGGAGGATTAGGTGTAATGGGGCTCTGGAAATAGGAGGTTACAACTGAGGCGTTTGATGCAGGGGGCTGGCATGGGAGGGTAGTAGAGGGATGGGAGGGTAGTGGAGGGATGAGGGGCTCTAGGAGTCAGGGCTTTTTACACCAAGGACTGGCAAACCTATTTACAAACTTTTGATATATCGGTAAATTTTTATTTGCATATTTGAATATTCACTATTTGCATAATGAATATGTACATCAAATTGTTGCCAGTCTACCAAAAGTTTGTGAATGGGTTTGCCAGTCCCTGGTATAAAAAAAAAGGTTGGGAACCACTGGTTTAATGCATCTTAGTCCCTCTGAATGTCCAAATAGACAAAGCTGGCAATCTAGTATCTGGGCAGCATGCATAGTTCAGACCCAAATCTCACGAGGCTGACAAAAACTAGAATCTCCCTGGAGACATCATGCAATGCTGCCCAGGGAATATTTAGTATTGGGTGGCCTGAGATTTGTGTTCAGCCTTGAACTGGGGGTGGAGATGCATAGCCAGGACATCTGGCCCAAAGTAGGGGTATTTATTGGGAGAAGAAACATTATAGATGAGAGGTGGAGAACCTTTTTTGGGGGTCGGGAGCTGCTGATGCACAGAAAAATCAGTCGGGGACGCACGACAGACAGACCGAGAGAAAGAAAGAAAGAAACACAACCACACTCTCACTGATATGGCCCCTGACTATGGCAAGAGACACTCCCCCGATTCCTCTCATACACCGGAGCCTTGGGGGGCCCAAGCTAGATGATGTGCGCTCTTGCCACGTAGAACTGCAGAGGGCTGGGGCACCAGTGTGGACTCCCCAATGCTGGGGGGGTGGCCCTGAGCCTTGGGGGCTGAATGTGGCCCGCAGGCCTTGGGTTCCCCACCCCTGCTGTAGATGGTTCCGTATTCATGCTGCACATTTGAAATACTGAAGTCCAACTTTCTCACAATATTATGTACTTATATTCTAAATAAGTACCATATTCATTCTGCAGATTTTAGTAATCTCTCCAAGGAGTTTTGAACAATAGACACAAAATAGTTTGCTACTGGGAACAACCTTTCATAAAATCCAGTATCTTAAGAAGTTACCTACCTTACAATAAAAATGTGGTTCAATGTATTTTGTCCATGTGGATCCCACTATCAGCACACAAAGTGTGTGCATAACATAGTAGTGGGATCCAAAAACCTAATTTAAGAAACTCATTTGAAAGAAAACAATCCAAAGTAATCCTCCTCAAATACATCCTCTTGTTCAAGAAATGGAGCATCAAGGATTATTTTACTGCTCATTTGAACTTTTGATACAAGTAAAAAAATGCCATACGAGGTCACGCCAGCAACGTATCTGGTGCAGAAGCCCGTTTCTGATTGTGGCACCGTTTTGGATTGTTACTGACCGTACTACTTGGAAGTCAGTTATGGGCATAACCTGTTCATAAAGGAATTCTGTAATCACTTCCATAAATAATTACTACAATCATTAGTGGTGTTAGGAAATGATCTCAAAAAAGAAACAAAACTTACCAGTTTAACAGCCTCTTGAGCTGCCTCTTTAGTACAGAAAGTGACAAAAGCATATCCTCTATTCAGACCAGTTAGTGGATCCATCATTAAGCGCAAATCCCAGATAGGCCCAGCTTTGTCAAATAATGGAACAAGCTCATCTTCAAATAAGTCTCTTGGAATCTTGCCCACAAATATCTAAGTAACAAACATTCACACGTATTTTTAAAATGATGTTAAATAACAGTCCATTTAAACCCTGTATAAAAATGTCTCCCTCTTACCTCTGTACCAACAGAAGGCTGTTGTCCTGAATACACAGAATCTGGAGGAGGACCACCATACTTTCTCTGCCCAGTAGTCACATCAAGTGTGTAGCCTGTTCTTTCCAAGAGTGCCTTCAAGAAAAAAGCTGAATGTCTTATGTCACATTCAATTCCCAATTTATTCAAGACTAACAGACTGTAACATGTAACCATAAGAACATAATAGCCAAAGGCACGTCTCAGTACCCTGTGTTCCAACAGTGGCCACTGCCCGATGCTTTGGAGGGTGATAACTGAACAAAGAAATGTATCGAGTGATCCAATCCATCTACTTTCATCCAATTCCAACTTCTAGTAATCAAAAGTTTAGGGACACCCAGGACACAGGTTTGCGTCCCTTTCATCTTGGCAAACAGCCATTGTTAGACCTAGCCCCCACAAATTTATAGAAGCAGCCATACTAAGTCAAGTTAAACCAAAGGTCCATCCAGCCCTGTATCCTGTGTCTTTCAACAGTGGCTAATGCCAGGTGCTTCAGAGTGAATAACTGAACAGGTAATCCATCAAGTGATTCATTTCTAGCTTCCCTTTCCCAAATTCTGGCAACAAAGACTAGGGACTCCTTCGGAACATTGTTTTGCATCCCTGACCATCCTGACTAACAGCTATTGATTGACTCCATGATTTTGTCTACTTTTTTTAAACCTTACTATAGTCTTGACCTTCACAACATCTTCTGGCAATGAGTTCCACAGGTTGATTGTGTATTGTGTGAAGCAATGCTTCCTTTTGTTTATTTTAAACATGCTACCTATTAACTCCATTTGATGACCCGTAGTTCTTGCGTTATAAATAAATATACTTTCTCCAGTCATTTTATAGACCTGGTCATCTCTTTTTCAAGCTGAGACGTCCCAGTCTTACTAATCTCTCTTCATATGAAAGAGGTTCCATACCCTGATCACTTTGTTGCTCTTTTCTGTACCTTTTCCTATTCAAATATATCTTTTTTGATGCAGAGACCAGATCTGTACACAGTATTCACAATGTGCACGTGCCACCTCATTCTTTTTTTAACACAATTATACTTTTGGCCTTCACAACATACCCTGGCAATAAGTTTCCACAAGCTGTGTACTAGGCAAAAAAGTACATCCTTATATTTTAAATCTGTTACATACAAGTTTAATTGGGTGATCCAATGATTTATTGGGTCATGTAGTATGTGAAGGTGTAGTATGTGAAGGGGTAAATATTCATTTTCTCATTTCATGATACCTTTCTTTGGCATCTGTGTCTGTATTTCCATAGTGACATTAGTGCTTTGAAACTTTCAGTACACTGCAGGTTTATATGCACATGAAACTAGAACCACTGAGAAGAGTAACCATAGTGAATAGTTTAATATGATTAATGCTGTTGGGTTAATCCTGATTTGTTAGCTCCAAGAAACAGGCAACGTGCACTTTCATTAGACCCAGGAAATTTCATTTTCACTGTAACAATGAAACCAAGTCAAATAAATGGACACTCATTTTTCTGTCAGACATTTCAATATCCAGATCCGCTTTGTTATAGATTTCATAATCCTGGACGTGTACCTATATATTCCCACCCTCTCGATGAGACTAGTCACACAACACATTAAAGCACACATGACCATTTGTAGGATTGGAGCATTAGTTCACCTGTCAAAAGCAGATACTACTTCCTTTCTCCCATCCTTTGTCTTGTCGGTTTAGTTTAGAAGCTCTCTAGGACAGGGCATCTTTTCTACACATATGTACAGAACTCAAGCAAAAGCAACTGACCTGTGGCTTGAACATCTGGATATTAATGTTACAGAAATACCAAAGAGCGCACAAATATAGCTTAATATGTAATATTTTAATACGGTATGTTAAATATCTCACGTCTCCATATGGACCAACATTGTTATTAAAGTGATTAGCAGTAACTTCAGTTCTCATTACAGAAATAATACTCCCACAATTTCCTTGAGGAAAAAGGGCATTAAATAAACTGTTATAATCAAGAGTAGTGGTCACCAACCAATAGCTCGGGATCTATGAGTAGATCTTGGAGCCTCTGATAGGTGATCCTGACTGGTCTGGCCTAGGAATGTTAAATATCAGTTAATTAAATGGTTGAGTAACCTCGTGAATTTGTATCAGTTAGCTGACTATTCAATAGTCCTTGGCGGTGGGGCCAGCAGCCACTATATCAGAGGTAGCAGTGCAGGCCTGCTGCCTCTGAAAAAGAGGCAGCAACATTGAGTGGCAGCAGCCCCTATCCAAGGGGCTAGGGGATCTGAGCTTCTGAACCTGGTGTGAACTGGAACTAAACCAGGCTGCCTGCCTACCTGGCTCCTAATACACTTTAAATGCAGAGGAGCAGCAGGGGTAGATCCCTGACCCAGTGTGAACCAGAATTGAGCCCGGCTGCTGGTCAGGCTGCTAAAAAAATTTACTGGGGCGGGAGGGTGGGGGAAATGCATGTATGCTATATAATTAACATACGTTTTTGCTTATCAGTTAATCGACTACACTATCACATCCCTATACTGGCCAGGAAGCTATCAAGTGTTGGCACTTCAGTTGTCCCTCCACCCACTGTCATGCTGTTTCTGCCCTTTGTCTTGGAGCTGCCCCCCTGGGAGCCTCCTGCTTACTGTGCAGGGTATGGGAGGGAGAAGTGGGGTGGCTGATGTCAGGGTGTCCCTCCTGCTCCCTTCCCCCCCCACTTCTGTACCCTATCTCCACAGAGAGATGATGATGGAGGGAGCTTGGCAATTCAAATCTGTCTCTCTCTCACCCCCATACGTGGGGGGTTGTTGTTACTCTTTTACTGCTTGCAAAGCGTGTTGTTTTTGATTTGACAGGTCTGTTACTTGCATAATTTTTATTTATCTCTTATGCTTAAATTTAATTCTTTGAGTAGTGAGTTCTGAAATGCGTAACCTGTCATAGCTGGAGTCATTATCCTTGTGGTAACTGCTGCTCCTGGAAGTGGCTGGAATGTCCCTGCAGCCCCTGAGAAAGTCAGACCAGGGAGTCTCCATATGCTGTCCTGCCTGCAGACACCACTCCTGCAGCTCCCATTGATCAATAACAGACAACCAGGGCAAATAGAAGCTGGGGGCTCAGTGTCTGTAGATGAGGGGCAGCACATGGCACAATGAAGCCATTGCTGTACATGCCAGCTGCTTTCAGGAGTGGTGCAACACCAGGGCATGAGTAAGCCTGCCTTAACCCCACTGCTCCACTACCCAGAAGCAGTCTCAGTTAAATGGTGCCCAGCTAGAGCCTGCTTCCTGAATCCGTCCCGTACCTGAACCACCTCCTACACCCAAACTCCTATCCCAGATGTGAGTCCCACAGCACTCAAACTTCCACAGCTAGCACCTTGAAATCCCTCCTGGACCCCAATCCACCACCCTGGGCTAAGCCTGGAGCCCCTCCCACACTCCAAACTCCTTGGCCAGAGACCAGAGCCTGCATCCCAAACCCCTACCCAAGTCTGGTGAAAATGAGTGAGGATGGGAGAGGAAGGAGGATGGAGTGAACAGTGTGAGGCCTTGAAGAAGGGGTGGAGCAGTGGCAGCACCTCAAAAAAAGGGCAAGAAGGAAGTGGAGCAAGGGTATTTGGGTTTTAGGTAGATCTTACATTGCACTTAAATTGTTTAAAAAGGTTGGAGACCACTGATCAAGATCAATATATTCACAGCTGGAGCCATATGTAGTATGATTTTGAGTAACACAGCACTGGCCTGCTGTAACCATGAACAGGAGAAGTATTACTCCAAGAAAATTAGTGTATTTGATCCTTAAACTGCTGACAAACGATAGCCTGAGAAACTATAAATACAAGTCAATTTTAAGAAACTGTGATAGAAAAAACTGTAAAGGGCTTACTGGGATTTATAATTAAGGCACTCAGATCACAGCCTGTTTTTTCCCCCGATTTTAAAGCTGATGTAAATACAGGTTGAACCTCCCCAGTCTAGCACAGTCAGAACCTGAGCAGTCCCAAATGAGAGAATTTGCCACACCAGGTGAGATCTCAGACACTGGCCCTCAAGCCCATACCTGTTTCTGGCAGCCTACTCTAACAGGCACCTTGCCTTGCTCCCCTCCCCAACCTTGCTGGTCTGCTTGCTGAGCTGGTGCTGACTCTCTGGGCAGCACAGTCCCTGATCCTGTGCTCCAGGAGGCTGCTGGGGCACTCCCGCTTTGGCCCCACAGTACTATGTGCTGCTGGAAGTTGCTGCAGGGCTCTGGCCAGACTGCCAACCCTGTTGCCTCAGCTGGCCATTAGGCTCCTGGGATTTCTGGTTCAGGAGTATCCGGCTGATATTGCTGGACCAGAAAGTGCCAATTTTCAGAGATAGAACCTGTACAAAGTTCTGAGAAGTACCTAGTATTGGTAATGTCAGAACATACAAGTTCATCATTCTACATTCATACAAAAACCGAGAGAGAACATAAGAATGGCCATACTGGGTCAGACCAAAGGTCCACCCAGCCCAGTATCCTGTCTGCCAACAGTGGCCAATGCCAAACGCTACAGAGGGAGTAACCGAAGCCATCCCTCTCCTGCCATCCATCTCCACCCTCTGACAAACAGAGCCTTGGGATACCATTCCTTACCCATACTGGCTAACAGCCATTAACGGACTTAACCTCCATGAATTTATTTAGTTCTCTTTTAAACCCTGTTATAGTCCTAGCCTTCACAACCTCCTCAGGCAAGGAGTTCCACAGGTTGACTGTGTGAAGAAAAACTTCCTTTTAGTTGTTTTAAAACCCGCTGCCCATTAATTTCATTTGGTGGCCTCTAGTTCTTATACGATGGGAACAAGCAAATAACTTTTCTTTATTCACTTCCTCCACACCACTCATGATTTTATATACCTCTATTATGTCCCCCCCTTAGTCTCCCCTTTTCTAAGATGAAAAGTCCTAATCTCTTTAATCTCTCTTCCTATGTGACCCATTCTAAACCCTTAATCATTTTAGTTGCCCTTTTCTGAACTTTTTCTAATGCCAATATACCTTTTTTGAGATGAGACCACCACATCTGTACGCAGTATTCAAAATGTGGGCATACCATGGATTTATATAAAGGCAATAAACTATTCTCTTTCTAACCATCCATTTGGCACCTTTGGTAAAGCTTAACTTTTAGTTTGAGTTCATTACTATCAAGAGTCCTTCGACATCAAGAGTTAATTTTTCTGATATGTCTTACTACAGAGCGTCTTTGGGATATTGAAACTGTTCTGGAAATATAAGTTTATCTTCAGATTGTGTGACCTACAACAGGACTAACTCACAAACCCACTAGGTGTGTCTAAAAAGCAACAGCACTATTGCTACCTTATTTAGATTTATTCTTAATTAAAAACAAGATGCATGATTTGATATTTGTATTCCAAAAAAATCCCATATTTCTTGTCTTGAGCAACAGAACTGCTTGGAAATATTTGCCCCAAATTATGAAAGGGTAGATTACAATACTTTTTAAACTAGAAGAGGAATATAACCAACCTAAGCAAATTATACATACACTGGATTTACAGAATCTGCTGTTTAAGGAAACATAGATAAAAAGTTTCTAGCCCAAAATGCGAAAAAGGTATTTGTGATCTGAGGATGTTAAGAGGCAGGTAATTGCGTCATCATACAGTCAATACAAGTTGTATTGACTGCACAATTAGTAGACAAGGGAAGGCGCCCAGAAGGAGCTACATCTGATGTGGCTCTGAAGTTTAAATGTACTAAGAGCCAGGCACACAAGCAGCCCAGTTCCTACTACATTTAAACTGCAGAGATGCAGCAAGGATAACTTCTGGACTTGGCGTGAGCCGCAACTGAGCCGGGCTCACTCAGTCCCGGCTTACACCAGGTCCAGCAGTCCCTGTCCACCGGGGGTCCCAGCGGGGAGCTGCTGGAGCAGCCTGCCCTGGCCCCTATGCACTGCTGTCTCTGATAGGAGCAAGCAGCACCACTGAGATGGTGCTGGGGGGAACCAGCTTTTAAGCTGGCTGCCACCTCACCTCCACCTGCTTCCCTGCCCTCTTGCTGCCTCTGATATAAAGGCAGGAGGTGGGGGAAATGCAAGCAGATGACTCAAGTACTCTTTTACACCCTTATTGTGATTACCAGATTCATGAATGATCTGAAAAAACAGTATTTACTAAACAAAGCACAGTTATTGGATGAATTAAAAAGTCAGACCTGGACATTTTTTTAAAGGGTCACTTATATACTTTACAACTTCAGATACATACCTTAATTTTTGCCTCATCTGGTCCTTTGCTAGAGTCTGCCACCTTGGTCCCCTGTTTTTCTCTCTGTCTATATGTCTTCATGACTCCACATAAAAAGGCACTTTTGTTCTGAAAGAGTTGAAAATTTTCATATTTGTAGATCTGAAGCTAAGCACACAATTTGTTTTTCAAGTGATTATCTGATCCTAGCTGCACAAAAGTTATACATCAAAACACAGATCACTGAAAGAACTTAAATACAGTTCTTGCCAATCTAGTAGCAGTTTGTTCTTCGTGTTATATACTAAATTGCTTAACATTACCTGCACATGTGAAAGATCACTGTCTTTAAATTGCTGAAGTACTGCCAATGCACCTTCTTCATTAAATTCCTTTAAAGCTTCAATAGCTCTTTCATCTAGATCACTGTGTGCAACTAGCCCTAGGGAAAAGAAAAAATTACTAATTATATTTGAGCAGCAATCTCTGTTTAACCATATTCATCAAATTTCAGTGATCCAAAATCATTGAGTTTGTGTAACAAGTAAAAAGCTCATATTACACAATCTTCCATTCCTCCCTAACTCATCTGCAAGAATTATTTCCATTTCCCCATTAAGAATAAAAACAAAAGATTTTTCCTGAAACAATTATTGTATTTGTATCAGAGTATCATCCGTGTTAGTCTATAAGGTGCCACAGGACTTCTCGTTTATGCAGATTCAGACTAACAGATTTATTGGAACATAAGCTTTCATGGACAAAGACCAACTTCATGCATCTGACAAAGTGGGTCTTTGCTCACAAAAGCTTATGCTCCAATAAATCTTAGGCTACAAGGTGCCACAGGCCTCTTCGGTGTTATTGTATTTGTGAACTTATTTAATACCACAAGGCATCCAAATATTACACGGGACAACATTATTTTCATTACCTGACCTGAACACAGAAGAGTTTTTAAAGAGATTTTAGAAGTACCACAGTAACTTGGTATATTTTGAAAAAAAGCCATCAAGCTCAAAGTCACTTAAACACTCAAACTATCACAATCAAGATCAAATACAGCTTAAGCAGCACAATCTTTGCATCTAAGACTCCAAATACTAAATCACAGAGTATCATCTAAAACAAGAGAATACATCAATTCAGTTACTGAAAAGTTACTTACAACTACTAACCCTAACCACATCACCTGCTCCTGCTATGAGCCACTGTTACCTACACCAGCTGTTGCTATTGTCTTATACCTATCCATCTGGTTTATCTACCTCCTCTTTTCCTTCCTTCCCACTGCAAGTGACTTTAATCATAGGTCCCAGACTTATCCACTGGGTATAAATCAGTTACAAGTATTTAATAAAAAACTCCATAAACCAGTACAAAAAGATACAACTGCAGTCCCCATACTTTTGGAAACCACAAAAAGTTGCTATTTTAGCCCAAAGCCAGAGGAGTCCAATAAAAAACCAAAAGTGTGATTTTGCAAGTTTTACATCTTACCTGCAACGTAAATTTCATCTAGTTTTTCAGCAACTTTCTGTGGTAAACCAGCATCAAGCAATGTCTGGAAATGCTCAGAATGGGTAACTGCAGCAGAAGTATCCATGGGCTCTTCAGTACCATTCCCATTAACATGTTCAGTAGCCATGTTTCCAGATATCTGTTCAAACGCAATAAGCATCATAATTAAGCTAGAAATCTTCAAGCAGAACAATTCAAGTGACAGTACATGCAACGCCTACTCTATGCTTCCAAAAATCTCAGACCACTCCCCTGCTATTTTGATTTCAAAAGATCCACAAAAATCCTCAAAAGAAAGCACTAACACAAAAGAATACCCTAGCACCACAGCCTATAAGAAGTGGGGTAGACTTCACTGCATATTTTACACAATTCAGCCAGCCAGACACTCTGACTCACCTCTCTCTGTCTCTAACACTCCCTAAGAAGCCCTGAACAAGTTAGAAATGGAGCAAGACGCCAATGGCGGGGGAGGAAGGAGAAGGGAGGAAGAGCAAACCTGCCACATGCAGCAGCCCCTACCGCGCGATACAGTCACTGACACTCACTGCTGCTTCCACCTCGATCGCCTATTTCAAGCCCGCCATCTCTCAGAAAGACTCACGGGCCATCCCGCCTAGCCGTGCACGGGGTTCGGGGTCCATCCCGCCTCCGCTACAGGCTCCGCGGAGCAGGCAGGAGGAACAAAGCGCTTCCCAGTCCGCACCCACCCACGGGGGGGGGAGTAAGCGCCCCACGAGCCC